ATATATATAAAATTTTTTTGAGTCTATTATCACCTCCCAAAGAGCCCTTAAGAGAGGTGGGCAGCCTAGGACTTAAATACTACTTTTCAGCCCTACACCTAGCCGATGTGGGACTATTTGTCTATGACATTCTCCTCCACTCAATCTCGTGACACCCTCATCACGGATAGGCTCCACCGAGGGTCCCACTGGACCATGGAGAGTCCACACATCTGACAGGCAGTAATCTGCTTTGATACCACTTGTCACCTCTCAAAAGAGCCCTTTGTGGGTGGTGGGCAGCCCAGGACTTAAATACTATTTTTCGGTCATACACCTAGCCAATGTGGGACTATTTGTCCGTGACACTATGCTGGTATATAAGTATATTTTTTATGGCTCAGCTTTTAATTAAGAGTTCTTTGCGACAGTAATTATGAAGCTGTTAAAAAATAATTTGATGATTAAGATAAACTTCAGGTGGCTATTATAAATTTTAAAAAAAAATTTAGACCGTAACTAGCTAGAAAACTGTCACCTCACCTAGCAACAAACGGTGTAAAAACATAAATTTCAAAATCAGCTTTTTCAAAAAGCTATCAAAACGTGGTTTATCCGAACATACAAAACTGTAATGCGATAACACTCTCCCACCGTATTGCCGCCCCAAACAGACTCTTAAACTTTATGTAATTGCTAATCTTTTTAAAGGGAACATAACCAGCTGATTAATTGATTTTTCCAAATTTATATCTTTAGAGTAAAAATATTAATAATTTCATTTTTTTATTCTTCTTAATAATTGGGGTGACAGAGTCAAAACTTTTTTTTTTTTTTGCAAATCAAATAATGTAAATTATTGGCTCCTTCTATCACCAAATATTTTAATTATTAATTTTAAATTTGATTTTTTACATGAAAATGACATGTGGGCATAAGGGCTAAAGAAAGATAGGAGTTCGCATGGTGAAGAAGAGTAGATGACCAGATAATCAAATTTCCTCTCTTGATTTATAAAGCAAAACATATACTTGTTTTATAAAAAAATATAAACTTATATTTTATTATTTGAAATTTTGCTTGCGCACCACATAATTCTTATGGATTTACATATTTAAATCCTAAAATTTAATATTTTAATTTATAAAAACATTGTGCTGCAAGTCTATGCAAATAAAAATGCATTTAACTTCTTAACAAGTTAATACAAGTGATGTGTTTGCTTTAATGTCAAAGATTTGAGTATTATGAATGTAAATATTAAAATTTAGGTGTTAGATATTTAAATTAATAAAAATTGCGTGGTATATTTGTAAATGTCCCTTTTTATTTGGAAGATTAGTGATGCATTTGCAATGGATGATGACAGAAGAGTAGAATGGTTGTGGTATATATGATGCCACCGCAATTAATCGCTATTTAATTTCTCCAATAACATCAATGTAAATGTAGATCAATTCAACTTGAAAAGGAATGATGCCGACTAAATCTTAATTAAACCCACCTTATTATTTATAAATCTTCATTTGTCACATAGAACATTAGTTTCAAGGGTGAACCCACATTAATTTTTTTTTCTTAAATATTATAATTTTTTTTAATATTATAATGTTTTCTAATTAGGTTGCCTGCCAAAAATTTAACTAGAATTGCATATATATATATATATATATATGAAATCATGTTAAAAATATATATATTATCCTAGTAAAGAGCCAAACT